CCTTCCTCACCAGCATTTTCCAAAGTGTGATAAGCACTGCTTGACTCCATTTAATTTACCCGTTTATCCTTCACAATGTCTTCTTTACCCATCACCCTTCTGAAACACTATCCTCGAAGGTAGCACCTCACTAATTCTGATATCATTTTCCTGTTCCTTATTCCCTTAGATCCCTGTTGCAAAATACATCTTTTTGAAGCTATTTTCCTACCTAAAGCTCTCACTTTTCTTGGCTCCCACTACACAAAACACTCTTGGTGTTCCACTTACTTTCCCACCCATGACCCATCTTTTTCCTCACAGGTCTTCACTGTCGCTACTCTCCAAAGCCCATTTTCTAGTGTCTTCTCTTTTCTCTGTCTTCCCCTTACCTCTTTGGGAAGCAATTTGTATCTTACGGTTTCAAAATCATTCTCTCACACGATTGATCTCAAATCCATATTCTCAGCCCCATATCTCTACCTACCATTAGGGAAGTTCCACTGGAATACCACATACATTTCATATATGTGTATGTCTTAAGCTCAGTTTACCATTCTCCCCTCCAAAAGCCTATCAATGTTAACACCTTTAATCCAATCAACCACACATAAATTTAGAGTTCATATTTACTCTTCTATTTTTCTATTTTTGTATGTAATTGCAACCAAGTTCCATGCTTTCCCCCCCCCACCCCCCAAAAGGTTCTTCTTTGGGTTTCTAGTGCTATCGACCTTGTACAGGCAGGCCCTTATTATCTTGGTCCTAAATACTGCAATAGCTATTGAACTTATTTCCCTTTCTCAATTCTCTCCTCATTCTATGTCCCTCTACTAGACTAATTGTCTATTTAATGCATCACTGTCACAATAATACTCTCCTGATACACAACCTCTTGTTGCATTTAAGCTCAATTTCATGTTTCTAAGACTAACAGTCAATGTCTTTCACTATCTGATCTCAACCATTGGACTTAGTTGTATTTCCTCGCTAGTCTCCAACAGGAACTTTGGCCTCCATGTAGAGCATTTCATACTTAATGTCCATTCCACATGCATTTCCTTATGATAGGAAGTTCTTTACCTATTCTTTTGCTTATCCAAATGCGTCTTGCATTCAAGTTCTATTGTCTCTACAAGGCTTCCCTTACTCTCCATCCATGGCAATGCCCTTTTGAACATCTTTAGCCCTTATCCTCTGCACCATTTGTTTTGCTTTAAGGGAATTTTCCTGAAATTTGTTGTTGCTGTTGTCTGCATGAATGAACGAATGAATGAATGAATGAATATCTTGCATTGCTACTTATTTGTTTTATGCATTTATCTTCTTACCATGAAGATTTTAAGTTTATGGAAGGTAGGAGCAAATACAATCTTTCCTTTGCATGTATTTTACCACCTAGTGCAGTATAATATCCCAAACAGAGATAATTCAGAGGGCAAGGATTATTTATTTACAGTGTGGCCTGATGCCTAGAAATCTGCATTTTTAACAAGCCTTGTACTCTCCTCCCCACCCCATAGGATTTTGATGTACTGCTTGTGAGTAGGGATCTTGTCTATTTTCTTTATCATGTGTCTTCAGTGCCTGGCATATAGTAAGCATTAAGTAATATTTTCGAATTAGTTATGCAGTTGACCACAAGCTATGTTTTGAAACTACACCCTGGGAGAAAGAGTAGGAGATTAAATAACACACTGAACTACTAGATGTTGCACATGTATTTGCATGTTGCAAAAATGTGTGTGAAATGTTTTGAAAAGTTTAAAGCAATTTTTTTTTTTTTTGAGATGGAGTATCACTCTGTCACCCAGACTGGAGTGGAATGGCTCCATCTCGGCTCAGTAAAACCTCTGCCTCCCAGTTTCTAGCGATCTCCTGCCTCAGCCTCCCAAGTAGCTGGGATTACAGGCATGTGCCAACACACCTGGCTAATTTTTGAATTTTTAGTAGAGAAGGGGTTTCACCATGTTGACCAGGCTGATCTCGAACTCCTGACCTCAGGTGATCCACCGGTCTCGGCCTCCAAAAGTGCTGGAATTACAGGTGTGAGCCACCGCACCCAGCCTGTTTAAAGCAATCTTAAAGTGTAAACTATTAATGCAAGATGCCAAAGTAGATGTTTTTAATAAGTGTTAATTTCTTTTTTGTTGGGGGGTAAACTGCCCTAGGAAAGACAAAAATAATCTTGTAAGCTTACTTTTTAGGTTTCTTTCTATTTATAAAGAAGAGAAAAAAAAAATCACCTTTTTTTTTTTTGTGCAAATCATAGACCTTTGAGTTAGAAGGGCACCAAAAGTTTCAGCTCTATTCACCTTTAAACAAATACAACATTTATTGCGTTAGTTATGGGTGAGGAAATTGAGGCTTAGAGGGATTTGAAGATTTGCCCAAGGTGGAGATTCTCAAAAGTGTCCTCAGATACCTGCATCATAACTTCCTGGGAAGCTTGTTCTAAAGTTTAGACTCAGAGCTTCACCCAAAACTTACTGCTAAATTAAATCCTTTAAAGGAAATTTGCATTTTTAGGAGCTCCTCTTATGCCTTCCAGTGTAGTACTTCTCAAACCCTAATGTTCATCTGAATCACCTAGGAATCTTATTAAACTGCAAAGCCTGATGTAGCATGTCTGGAGTGGGGCCCAAGATTCTTTGTTTGTTTGTTTGTTTTTGTTTTTCAACTTTTATTTTAGAGTTAGAGGGTACATATGCAAGTTTGTTACCTGGGTATGCTGTATGATGCGGAGATTTGTGGTATGAATGATTTTATCACCTGGGTACTGAAAATAGTACCCAAAAGTTTTTCAACCCTTGCCCCCTCCCTCCCCTCTCTAGTAGTCCACAGTGTCTATTTATTGCCATCTTTATGTCCCTGAGTGATAGGGTTTGACTGTGTCCCCACCCAAATCTCATCTTGAATTGAATCTCCCATAGTTCCCATTGTTGTGGGAGGGACCTGGTGGGAGATAACAGAATCATGGCAGTGGTTTCCCCCATACTGTTCTTCTGGTAGTGAATACGTTTCATGAGATCTGATTTTATTTTTCTTTTCTCTTTCTTTTTACATGGAGTCTCACTCTGTTGCCAGGCTGGAGTGCAGTGGCGTGATCTCAGCTCACTACAACCTCTGCCTCTGGGGTTCAAGCAATTCTCCTGCCTCAGCCTCCCAAGTAGCAGGGACTACAGGCACGTGCACCACCACCCTGGCTAATTTTTATAGTTTTAGTAGAGACGGGGTTTCACCATGTTGGCCAGGCTGGTGTCAAACTCCTGACCTCAGGTGATGCCCCTGCTTTGGTCTCCCAAAGTTCTGGGATTATAGGCATGAGCCACTATGTCTAGCCTAGATCTGATGATTTTGTAAGGAGAAACCCTTTTTTGTTTGGTTCTCATTTCTTTCTTTGCCTGCCGCCATCCATGTAAGGTGTGACTTGCTCCTCCTTGCCTTCTGCCACAATTGTGAGGCTTCCCCAGCCACGTGAAACTGTCCAATTAAACCCCTTTCTTTTGTAAATTGCCCAGTCTCGGCTATGTCTTTATCAGCAGCATGAAAACGAACTAATACAATGCGTATTTGATGTTTAGCTCCCACTTATAAGTAAGAATATGTGGTATTTCATTTTCTGTTCCTGCATTAATTCACTTAGGATAATGGCCTCCAGCTGTATCCATGTTGCTGCAAAGGATATTATTTCATTCTTTTTTATGGCTGCATAGTATTCCACGGTGTATGCCCCATTTTCTTTATCCAATCCACCATTGATGAGCACCTAGGTTGACTCCATGTCTTTGCTATTGTGAATAGTACTGATGAACATGTGAGAACATATATCTTTTTGGTGGAATAATTTGTTTTCAGTTGCATATATACCCAGTAATGGGATTGCTGGGTGGAATAGTAGTTCTGTTGTTAGTTCTTCGAGAAATCTCCAAACTGCTTTCCACGATGGCTGAACTAATTTACATTCCCACTAACAGCGTATAAATGTTACCTTTTCTCCTCAGCGTCACCAACATCTGTTGATGTTTTCACCTTTTTTTTTTTTTCTTTTTGAGACAGAGTCTTACTCTGTCACCCAGGCTGGAGAGCAGTGACTCCATCTCAGCTCACTGCAACATCCGCCTCCCAGGATTAAGCGGTTCTCCTGCCTCAGTCTCCTGAGTAGCTGGGATTACAGGCGCCCACCACCATGCCCAGGTAATTTTTGTATTTTTAGTAGAGACGGGTTTCACCATGTTGGCTAGTCTGGTCTCGAACTCCCAACCTCAGGTGATCTGCCCGCCTCAGCCTCCCAAAGCCCTAGGATTACAGGTGTGAGCCACTGTGCCCGGCCAAGAAGCCAAGATTTAATGGGTACACAAGTGCCCAGGAATTGGAGAGTGGGAAGTGTGCGTTGACTATTAGTCAGGGACTGTCAATGGAAGGGAAGGAGTCAACGATGGGAGTGAGAGCTCTGAACTCGGTGTTCGAAGCGGGTAATTTATGGGAGGGGCATACCTATGAGCAGACAATGCACTCAGACACGGAAGATCTGTGCATTAGACAGAAGAGACACCTTTTTCCTCTGTGATAAGAACCAAGGAGGTAAGTAAGGGGTCTAATAGATATGAGTTTGTGCATGTGTGCTGGGTGAGTAATTGAGACAATTCATATATTTGAGAAAAGACAGTGAAATATTTAAAGGTAAAAATAATAAAACCAGCTGTGGCACCTATTGGATAAGGAATTACTAACTGATGATTTAAAAATTCCTTTATGTGCGTTAGGAGTTCATTTGTTATCCCCATTTTACAGATGCGCAGCCCCAGGTTCAATAACTTGCTCTAAATGAGACTGTAGAGACTAACTCCAGCACCCGGCAGCTCTCACCTTAAGCTGCCTGGCTAAGGTCAGCAGCAAGTAACCTGGCAGCGTCTGGGGGCCTGCGGCCGAGGACAGGGCTGGAACTACACTTCCCAGTATGCCAGGCGGGGCGGGGCGCGGCGGGGAGGGCGCAGGCTCCTTCCCAGAAGCAAAAGCGGAAACAAAAGAGTCTCGCCGGCGTCCCCGCCCGCACACTCGCGCACACTCGCGCTCGGGCGCAGACGGAGCAGGGACCGGCGCCCGGAGCGAGCCAGGGAGCGGCGAACCGGGGACCCACCGCGCGGAGCCAGCTGAGCTGCCAGCGAGCCCAACTCGCGACGACCCACGCCCCCGAGCCCCGCCGCCGACCCCTGCCGGCCGGTGTCCCCACCGCGATCCCTGACCCATGGCGCTGAAGCGGATTCAGAAAGTGAGTGCCGGGGCCGGGCCTGGGGCTGCGGGGCAGCGGGGCAGCGGCCCCTGCCCACGCTGACTCGACCAGTGGTCCCGAGAGATGTGCAGGGAGAGCACGGGATGGAAGGGTGGGCTGGGGTGCGAGCAGGGAGCTGGAGGCTCGGGCCCGGCCAGCGGGCACCGGACAGGTGAGGTGGGAGCGGGGACAGGTCCCAGGCGGCCGGAGGAGCTTGAAGGCTGGGGGCCCGTGGCGCGCTCGCGCCGGGGCCGCTCCCGGAGCCCCAGGGTAGAGAGCCTCCTCCGCGTCCAGACCGCCCCGAAATCTGTGCTTCACGGTCACGGCTGGGTTTTGCCCTCCATGAGGCTAGTTTTGACCCCTGTCATGCTGTGTTTTCTCCAGGCTGTTTCTTAAGCCTGTCTCTTTTATGTTCTTGCTTACCCGGGCTCCCCGGGAGGGCACGGAAGGTGGGGTGGGCCTGCAGTCTTTCTCCGCGGAGCTGTCGGGTTGGTTATTTCTCCTCTGCGGTTGGCTCTTGCTCAGTTGCCCGAATGGGCTGGAAAGCCCATTTGCGGCCAAGAAGCCAAGAGAAGGCTCCTGCCCCTTCTATTTTGGTGCCTCTGCTGCTGCCACTTCAGGTCACATAGCTGTAGCGAAAACATAGTTGCTGATACACAACAAGATGACCTCCTGGCTGTGATTCACGGTGAGTCAAGCCAAACAGGTTTTTTTTGCCCCTCATGATAAACTTAGATGTAAAGTTCGAGACACAACATAAACTGTCGCAAATAAATTGTTTTGATGCTTTGACACATGGGTATAGAATGAGGAAGAAATGTATATCTTCATCCAACAACTGTTCACCCATCTCAACCCTGTGTGTGGAATTGTCTTTTTTTCACAGTATTTATTGCCACCATTTCAGAAGTGAACATCCTTCAGAATTGATATTCGGGCATTTCTTTCTGTTCATTTTGATTTCTTGTTGGTCTGTATACTGACCCAAGTTTTAGGTTTTACAGTTACAGTTCACACTGGGAACATTGAGAATGTGTTTGTTAAATAGGGAGTGCTTTTCACTAAGTTAAGCAACAATGGTCAGTATATTTTGTAGTTGTTTCAGAAGAAATTAATGCCCACATTTTTATCTGCTTTTTTGACCAGTAGTCCATTATAGCAATAGTAAATGTTAGAGCAGTGATAGTGACGTACACATTGTATTCTGACTAGCCACTAGTGGCATCTTTAGGTACAGAGGACAGCAACTTTTAGAGCCTGCCAGTTTTTTATTTTCAAATTCTAAATCTGTGGATCACGTGTTATTTTTTGTCCCATTTAAAGGTCGTCTCATTGTAAAACATACGGTTAACAATCAGCATCAGCATTTATTAAGTAATAATGTTTTCTTGTTTGAAGATAGTTCAGTTACACGTTGTTTTATATAAATATCCTAATTTTGAAGCCTCAGTCGGCTTCTTTACCATAACTTGCATACTTATTAATGACGACGTAATATTGGTTCACATTTGGATCAGAAAATGCACATCTTCCAAGGAAGTTTTCAAATTCTATTTCCTTCTTTCCTAGTTGTGAGAATTTTTCACATGATTTTGCACATACAAGAGCTTTTTAAATTATCACTGTGTTTTTTTAAGAGATGGGGATCTCAGTATGTTGCCCATGCTGGTCTTGAACTCCTGGCCTCCAGAGAGTCTGGGATTACAGGCACAAGTCACCATACCCAACTAACAATAGCGTTTAAATGCTGTGTAATTTGTCCACAGTAAGTAGATATTCAAAGAAATATAAACATTGTTTGTAAATACCATGCTTGGCAGTTCTCGTCAATCACCATGCTGAACTGGTGTATTTGATTTATATTTGCAATGTGTGTGTCCAAATCTTTTCTTTTTAGTATTTATTGGTTATTAGTTTATAGAGTTGTTCAGAGAAAAAAAAAAAAAAACTTACATAGAATTGATATCAAACATGTGACAAATTGATATTTTGGAGAAGAAATTGGGATCATATATCATCACGTCTCTGTGCGTTCATCTTTGGCTTCCCTTTCTGGTATCAGGCAAGTTAACTTACACAAGTCTTCCTTCCATTAATCACACATTCAGACCATTTCCTCACACCTTAGGGGTGATTATTTTGATTGATTCCCTATTTTTCCTCCTCTTTTATCTACCTCCTTGATTAGAAGCCAATTCTAGGTCAGTTGGGCCGCCTGCCATGTGAACAGTTATACCATCTTCTTCTTTGATGTCATCAGTATAGACATTCTTATTTCAATCTTTCATGTTCCAACAAATGAAGATGTATACTAACTTTTGGCCTTTCTTCTTAAGCTCCTATTGGAGTGTTACTATAGTTTTCCTGTACCTAAAGTGGCAGACTGTAGAGCTCTGTGGAACCTCAGATAAGTCTGCCGTAGTGTAGTAGAGGGTACCAGCATGGGAACAGCTTCTAGGGTAGTATCTTAGAATCACCTGAGGGATGTTTTCAGATTCTCGTCACTTCTATAAATGGAGAGGTGTTGAATCCCTCAGATGAGTTGGGGTGGAAAGAAGACTGAGAACCACTGATGTTCTGGCCTGTCCTTATTCAAAGAGGGATCCAGAGGCCTGGAATAGAGGAGTGCATTGTCCTAGGATAGTCTTTTTTTGTTTGTTTGAGATGGAGTCTCGCTTTGTTTCCCAGGCAGGAGTGCAGTGGCGTGATCTTGGCTCACTGCAACCTCTGCCTCCTGGGTTCAAGCAATTCTCCTGCCTCAGCCTCCTGAGTAGCTGGGACTATACAGGCACACACTGCCAGGCCTGGCTAATTTTTTGTATTTTAGTAGAGATGGGGTTTCACTGTGTTGCCCAGGCTGGTCTCGAACTTCTGAGCTTAGGCAGTCCACCTACCTCGGCCTCCCAAGGTGCTAGGATTACAGGTGTGAGCCATCACACCTGGCCAATAATCTCTTAATTGGCTTGGCATATTTGAGAGCGTTAAGAAGTTCATGATTTCACATTTCTTCACTATGAAAAAGAATAAAGATGATTGGATTAAAATTATATGTGAAGACAGAGCATGGAGATATCAATGCTTAAAATACATTTTTATACTAGAATATACCAAATATACTAGAATATACTAAATGATTTAATGCTCTGATTTAGTGTGCCAGTTTTGCATTCCAGCTCATACATTTACGCACCCATGCCCTATTTTTAAATACAGTGAAAGATGTTATCACAGTCACCTAAATCATTAAAAGAAAAAAATTTGAACAAAGTCTAAGGAAAGATACCTAAAACATGTCTGAAAAAAGAGGACAGTTTTTCAGCTAAGTATCTGTTTTCTAGAATTAATTTCTAAGTTGTTTCTTCTATCAATACTGTTTTCATTCCTTGATACACTTTTTTTGGGGGGATTATTTTTTAAATTACAGATGTTAATATCCCAATACTGAATGTTTTGAAAACTAAAGGGGGAAAAAAGGAAATCCTAGAACAGTCATTATCATCATCATAGATCTTATTTGATAAAGAATTTGAGGTAATGAACGTCATACTAGCATTATGTGATGTGATGTGATAAGTTTGTTTCCATTTTTGTCTGTCTTTTGAAAAGTGAGGCAACAGAGTTTTGTTTTACAAATATAGCAACCCAGAGAACTATTCCTTGGTATGTAGTTCTTCCTCCCAAATGGAACATTAGTTGTTTTTGTTTTTTAATAATCAGTGTAATCTGAAACATATATAGAGACATACAGATTAAAATCGAATTTGATTAATGTTTTGAGCTGCTGAATTTTTTTGATTTGTAAAATTTTATGTTAAACTGTTTATGTTAGTCTAGAAAACCTTAACCCAGCCCTCTATGGATGGAGCATCAAATGGAAGAAGAAGGTCTGAGGTTTTTTTGTTTTGTTTTTTGTTTTTAGACAGGCTCTCACTTTGTCACCCAGGCTGGAATGCAGTGGCACAATCTCGGTTTTCTGTAACCTCCACCTCCGAGGCTCAAGTGATCCTCCCACCTCAGCCTCCTGAGTAGCTGGGACTACAGGCCCATACCACCATGCCCAGCCAATTTTTGTATTTTTGGTAGAGACAGGGTTTCACCATGTTGGCCAGGCTAGTCTCGAACTCCTGACCTCAGGTGATCCACCCGCCTCAGCCTCCCAAAGTGCTGGAATTACTGCCACCTCACGCAGCCAAAGGTCTGGTTTTTATTCCTGGCTGTGTGGCTTACTAGCTTCGTATAATGAGGTTAGTACATATTTTCCCATACATTTCCATACAATGGATATGTGTGGATATCCATACATATGAGGCTCCTGATCTCAAAAACCAGGGTGTATATAATGGTTACTCTGCCTTATAAGTACTTGACATATATTAATTGACTTAATTCTTAGTATGCCCAAGAGGTGGAAAGAGTGTTATTTCCATTTTACAGATGATGACACTAAGGCAGGGAAATATTGAGTAGTTTAGTCATGATCGTGTTATCTAGTAAGTGACATTGCTGCAAGTCCAAAACAAACAGTTGACTTCAATTCCATATTCTTTTTTTTTTTCTTTTTTAGTTCTAGAATCTTTTATTTAATACGTTCTCATGCCCAGTTAACACAAAAATAGTTGCAGTTACATACCGCTAATGAAAGCCACCAAACTGCCTATCTGAAGGGAGAGTCTAGGATCTTTCTCTTCCACCTCTGTCCTTAGGAGAGAATGATAGTTTTTGGATATTGAAGAGAGCATTCACTGAGCTTACTGAACTCATCAGATATTCTATAAAGCTTTCTGTCTAATGTAGCCACTAGCCACATGGAAACAAATTGGCTATGAAAATTTAGTTTTCAACCTTGAGCTTTATGAACTCTAAATATAGATCAAATATTGCTGATGAAAATTTAGTATCCAAATTGAGATGTGCTGAAGTGTAAAATATATACTGGAATTTGAAGACCTAGTATAAAAGTCTAAATAATTGTTACTAAATGAGATATTTATAAACAGATA